CCTGTGAGTGAACACACCAACTCCGGACGTCGTGAACTATACGATGAGGAAATATGGCACCATTCCGCCGAAAGGGGTATCACATAGCCATCGCAGGAACGTTCAAGAAGATCAGAGGTCCGAGCGGTGCGAGCCGATGAGGATTCCCAAGACTAGCTATCGAGGACGAGACAGTTAGCGAGACTTGACAACGACAAGACTTCCGACCTTCGCAGTCATTCTCTTGTGCATTACCCGTAATAAACCTGTAATGGTAACTTTCTATTTTGTTTTTTTGAAAAAAAATGTTTTTTCACAAACGCTACCAGTGACTCAGCCCAGTCACTTCATACGAATAGTCTTGATAGCGCCTTCCAAGATTTTTACCCTTTATTCGGCTTATGTTTCGCCTTCTTTAGAGACTGGAAGTCCAAGAGTAATTTACACAGGAGCCTGTGCAATGATGAGGACGATTCCCCCAGACCAGTGAGCCAGTAGGTAGGTATCGCTCAGTCGAAGTGCACAACAAGAATCGCCTTTAATTTATGCAGCCGCAAGGCGACATTGACCATCTACTGGAGGTAGTGTTGAACGGACATTGCAATTTCAAGCTCTGCGACGTCCCAGCGGGCCCTCCAGGGCCACCCGAACCGAGTGGAGCTCCCGGAAAAAGAGGACCTATGGCAATCCAGGACGTCCTGGAAGACCAGGAAATGATGGCAACCAACCAGGAATCTCGCGTATACTGCCATGCAACCGCTTGCGAACAAATCGACGCCTGAGGTTCCCCGGAGGTACTTCCGCGATTCCGCGTCCTCTTGTAGATCACCTTTTCGCATAGTCGAATTCGAACTGCACTATTTCTTCCAACCTCACTATTAGAAAATAGTGAAAGCACTTTCTACCCATTTCAGTTTTCGTCGTTGCTCCAGATTCGGCAAGGTTGAATGGCTAACGAACGGATAAACAAGCGAAATCGCGCGACTAGGGCGGAGCAACACCGGTATAAAACGTAGAGAATGTCACCGGACAGCAACACAATGTTCGAGGAAAAACTCATCGTTGGTGTGGCTTCGGCCTGCTCAATCCTGGCCATCGCTGCCTGCTTGATCGTGGTCCCTTCTCTCTATAACACCATCAACGAGATTCACGATGAGGTCCTCGAAGCTGTTTCTGTGTTCCGCGTCGAGACTGACTCTGCTTGGAGCCAAATGATGGACTTCCAAGTCACGGTCGCACCACCTTCAAAGCCTCGTGAGAATCCATTCGGCTCCATCTTCCGATCGAAGAGACAGGCCGGTCTTCCTTCTTACTGCCAGTGCACGACTCCAACGGTCAACTGCCCACCTGGACCACCTGGACCTCCTGGACGACCTGGAGCACCTGGTTAGTTATTAATTTTTGTTCTCGTAATAGTTCCGACTAAAAGCTACACTTTCAGGACAGCCCGGAGCACCTGGCCAACCTGGTAACGACGCCACCACCACCTACGCTCCCATCAACTGCCCACCTCCCAACACCGGTTGTGTTCAGTGCCCAGCTGGTCCTCCAGGACCACCCGGACCGAGTGGAGCTCCTGGAAACAAAGGACCTGATGGCAACCCAGGACGTCCTGGAGGACCCGGAAATGATGGTGGTCCAGGTCCAGCTGGACCTCCCGGAGACAGAGGAGCACCAGGAAACCCTGGACCCGCTGGACAGCCTGGACCTGCCTGGAAGACCTGGTACCAGTGGAAGAGGAACTCCTGGAAGACCAGGACCTGCTGGACCCATCGGAGCTCCAGGAAAAGCCGGAGGACGCGGAAATAACGGCGCTCCTGGAAATGCAGGACCGACCTGGTCCAGCTGGTCAGCCAGGAGGACCAGGAAACCCTGGAAGAGATGGTCAGCCCGGAAGAACTGGAAACCCTGCACGTCCAGGAGGCGATGCTGCTTACTGCCCATGCCCACCTCGCTACGCCAAAGCTGCTGCTCGTCGTGCTCGTGTCTGATTTTCTGCATTTCAATAAATATTTTAGTATTTGCCTGTTGTACATTATCACAACGCCTTCAAATAAACGAGATCAGTCGTGATGAAACGTGAAGAACCCCTGCAAACCATAAGCTCTATTGGAGGTGGTAACTTATGGCCAAGTATGCAGAACATCACCTTCTATCACTGAAGAGTATTTTGCATAGGCATTTACATGAGCAGGGCAGGGGATCGAACTGTAGAGGCAGAAGGATAAAGTTCACAAGAAGTGTCGCTTACCAGGTTCACCGCGATCACTTAAGAAAACCATTTTCGCTGCGCCGTCTCACTCATTTCACCTTGACCTAACGCGCGCCCACCATGGAACGCTTGAACTGCGCTGAGTGCAAGATAAATGGAACCTGCCA